GGAAAAGTCAAGTAAGCTATATTGCTTTAAAGATCAAGCGAAATATTGGGATTCTTTCTAAACTTCGTTATTATGTGAATTTAGACATTTTGATTAAACTATATTAGGCGTTAATATATCCCTTGTTAATCTATGGTTTAACCTCGTGGGGTAACATTTATTCTTCGACTACCCAGCTTTTGTTTATCTTACAAAAGAAAGCAATGAGAGTGATAACTTTCCCTAATTTCCATGAGCATTCTAGTCCAATGTTTAAGTGCTTAAATATTGTTAAACTGCTTGACCTTGTCATCCTTAATATTGCAGCCTTTATGTATAAATTTCACAATAGACGTCTACCATATGTGTTTGATACTTTTCTCACTCAAGTAAATAAAAAACATAACTACAATACTAGAAGTGCCTTGAATTTGTCCTATTCTCTACCTAAAGTAAGAAGAAATTATGGAATATTTAATTTAAGGTTTAAGGGCCCCAAAGTATGGAACTCAGTAAGTGAAACTTTGAAAACCTTATCAATCTCAAACTTGAAGGAGTCAGTAAAATGCTATCTAGTCAAAGACTATTAGCTACTTATATGTACTTAGTAGCAGTGTATTGTTTTCCAATTTACTGTAATGTAGTCTCCTGTTAATTTCTGTAACCTTTTTAAGTACTTCTTTATTTTGTAGTTTATAATTATATAGCTGTTACTAGTTGCTTTAGACATTGTGCTCTTCTTACAAATAACTCTAACTATTTAAGACTTCCTTCATATCTTATAAATTCCATTTCTTTTTTCTTTTTTCTTGTGTGTGTGTGTGTGTGTGTGTGTGTGCATTTGTGCTTCAATCTTCTTGCTGACCTGTATTTTAATTTTATTTAATGCTGATGTTAACTAGCTGCCTGTCTCTGCTAACCCCTATGGTTATTCCAGGCTGCTAGTACTCCAATTTTATGTCTAATAATTTCTTTCAATTTTGTAACTTTTTTGCTTAGAGCAAGTATGAGTGTGAGTACAAGTATAGATTATCCGTTTATCCGTTTAAGATACTCACTTGTGATTACTTAATTACAATAAAGAGAAAGGTTACCCAGCATGAAATATATTAAAGTATTATAATTTTAATTGTTATTTTAGGGGATCCTCAATGTTTCAATCTTTGGAAAGCAAAGTTGTTTCTGCTTCTTCAACTCTTAAGGTAGGCCACATTGATTATTTTGAATTAATGAGTGTGTATTCAAATTTTACTGTAATCAGGCTCCAATTTCTTTGGTATTTACCATAAGTAGCTTATAGTCTAGTCACTAATCCAGACTTTCTTTTGGCTTGTCACTTCTTTTTGGTGTTGTGAAGAGTGGATAGCTTGTTCTACTGTATACTTTTTTTTTTAAACAACAGTTTCGTGATTGACAGATATTTCATCAGAACAGCTTTTGAAAAGTTGATTTATGCTCTCTAATTAATAAGTATGAATAAAGTAAACCATGCTATTCATTGGAGACTGATTTTGCCAGTTTATAGCAAGAAGCCTTTTAACAACTGGACTTTGAATCAGGAGTTGTTTAAAGTAAATTTTGTCAGAGAATGTAAATGTCCAGGTCAGCTCTTGATTAATAAAAACTATTAACTAGCTCTGAAAATAATTTTTCTAAAATATAACAGTTTTGAGGTTATGTAATAAGGAAAGTCAAGCAGGAGTGAGATGCCACACCGTTGAAAAATTTATCCAATTTATCAGAGGGTGAGACAGGGTATTAGGATATTTATTAATCATTAGGTACATATTAGCATATTAGGGTATTTATTAATCATTAGGTACATCTTAGCATATTAGGATATTTATTAATCATTAGGTACATATTAGTATATTAGGATATTTATTAATCATTAGGTACATATTAGCATTTGAATCATTCATCTGCAATGTGGCATTATTTCCTGGCAGGTACTTTGGTAAATCATGCATGTACCTCATCTTCAATAGGATGTGAACTGTGTCATCAACCATTAACAACAATTAGGGTGTTTGGAGAAATCAATTGATCAGGAGAGCAAATAAATAGCCTATTGTAGAGAAGATATATATAATTTGAAAATGAAATTATAATTTTCTATCACAAGTCAGTAATAACCTCAAGAAGATTAGTAGCATACCCTAACTTTCTTTATGTGAGAAATTTAAAGCACTCTTTCTGGATTTTTTTGTTATTGAGATATTTCTTTCTGTGTGTCATCCAGGAGAAAAGAGAAGTTTGAACTCATTTAAACCCTTAAGTAATATTTCTGCACTATAATTATTAAAATATACTGTAATTTGTTATACTTTTAATCTTTTGCAGCTCTACTGCTGCTGTTTAGCAAATTGTAGAATTCTTATTGAAACCATTTTTAATAATAAGAAATATTAATTTGCTGCATGTAATGAAACTGATTTTGTTCACTTATTGCCTTTTTTTTTTTTTTGTGTTCTTTGAAGAAATTTTTTCCTTTTTATAATATCAGAATGACTCTTCCATACATTAATTTTAAAGTTGATTAAATACATCAACTAAACCATCTTAATTCTAACAAATAATTTTAATGTTGCTCTCTTGATATAGTTTAAGATGCTGGGAAGCTCAAACAAAGGCCAATTAACCACAAGTCAGCCTCCATCTCCATCCAATAATGATATCAGTTTATCTTGAGGACTGTCGAATTAATCTCAACAGTAATTTTCCAAAAGAGTTTGGATAAATAGTGTTAAATCTTGAGGATCTAAATTAGACACAGCACAGGAATTGATCCACTGAATCATGTGGCACAAAGAAGTAGAAGGCAAAAAACTTTTTGACAGACTCTGGTATCACAGCTTCTTGAAAAGTAGAAATTTAATATTTTGGAGTGGTTTGTTGTCTGAGACAAGGATATTAATAGAACAGAGTCCAATTCTTTAGCTGGAAAAATCACTTATGTGTCAAGCTCATTGCCATCACTCTTAGCACTGTGAGAATAATTTTGGGGATTTGTAAACTCATTTTTCATGGTAAGGGATACAGTATTTAACAGTTCGAAACTAAGTGTTTTCACCACAGGCTATTTAATTGAATGTTAATTAGAACTTAGTAATGATTTTTCAGAGGAAGTATTCCTTTATAATGTATTTCATAGCTGTCTGGTATTTCATTGAAATATTTTTATGCTATACAAGACTTAGTGCAATGTTAATAAAGAGAACAGCCTTTAGGAACATTTTTGTTGTTTGTTATTCAGAAGAAAAAAAGTTTGTTTCTTTGTTTATAAATACTTAATTTGTTGTGAATGAGAAAAAAACTTTGGTGTTCAATTCTACAAAGGTTTCTAGGAATTGATCTGGAGTACTTGAGAGATGAGTAACTCTTCTATTCAATAACAGATTATCTAACTTTGATGTTAACCTTTGTAAATCTGAATTCTCTGCTTTAAGAGATTGGGGAGATCATGTAACCATGTTATGATGGTGTTCTAACTTTATTTTTAGTAATAAAAAAGGCTATATAGTCTAGAAAACTAGTGCTGTTCTGATCTCTAAACCATAATTTAAGAACTTGGTTCTTGCAACTCTTTTCTGTTCTGAGGTCTTAAGTGCCATTTTAGGTTTGTATTTAGTGAAGATAAACTGCTGTATCTATCAATGATGCAATAATATTCCGACACTTAAATTGGTATCTGTGTTAAAAGACAATCAAATCATTCTGCCTTCGTTCTGGGATAATCATCTGGCTGACACAACACAATAACTGATGCTTTTACAGAGATATCTATCTCCCCAATTGCTTTGAGGGTAGGGAGAAAATGTACATGTATGCATGCTTCATCAATAAACTTTTTTATGCAATGAGAACATTTGCTTTGGTTAAAATCAGTATTTTAGGTACTTCAATTACACGTGTCAGACAACCTCCTGTATTGAGTTTGTTACTTATTAATAAGATTTAAAAAAATCATTTCTGCTATTAAACAATGGTTATATCAGCTGTGATCTTTGATTCAGTAGAAGTGTTTTGTGAGTATCTCTCATTTACTAGGAAGGTTTAACTTTTAATTTTCCTCATCATTTGCACTGTTGTGAAAGGTCCAGAATGATTTTAGTTTTTCTTGCAATATGGGAATGAAGAAAGCAGCCACTGGTACTTGTTTGCTAATTTGTAGTGGAGGGTAGCAGCTCCTTGTGTGTTTCTGAAAGTGCTGCATTGCTTACTGAGCTGAGTAAAGAGATCAGGTGGCCATGAGTGTCACTCAACATTGATGACATGGCAAGTGAAAAGAGAGACATTAGTTTATGTAAAACTGCAGTAACAACAAGGAAACTAAAACTGAAAAAGTGTCCCTGAAACCCAGGCTGTGAAAACTCCTGCTTTAAATTAAGATCAGTGTTTTTTCATCATATAATCATAACAGCAACGAGTTTTATACTTTTTTAATTAGTCCTTAATCATCTACAAGTGCTTTTTTATACTTGCTCCTGTGATGCTATTTAGGAAACTTCTGCTGTTTTCAGTCAAATCTTGGCTTCTTTCTGCTTTACCCCTAGAGCAAGTTTGTTAATTTGAAAATGGCACCAGGGAGTGAACTAGATTGTCAGTTTGTCTTCTCTACTAGCTTGACTGTGTTATTTGCCGCTTTACAGGAAAAGATAGTTGGGCCAAGCTCTGACAGTTTGGATGAGTCTGAACTCAAAAAGGGCCCAGACCCAGATATGGAGTAAGACAACAACCTGAACATCACATCTGAGGAATCAAAAGTTTTCTCTTTCAGGACCTGACTTGTCAGTGTGTGGTTCATAATTATCAGATGCTGACTGATGCTATATTCATAATGTGCAATTTTGCTTGCAAGACATTAGTATAATTTTTTGTATTTTTCAAAAATTTTATATTTTCCTTCTAAGTTAAATTCATAATTGAATCAGAGGCAGAATAGAATATTTTTCTATTACAATTATAACTATAAAATAGTATCCTATCCTGGAAGGAGGTTGCAGCAATATTTTTGTGGTTTAATGGGTACACATTGCTTGGGTTATCAATTGTAAACAATGACTGGGCTATGTTAATCAGAAGAATTGCTGACTTGATTGATTTGCTTCAAATTAGTGTGTGCTTGATTTGTATGTCATCAATGAGCAACAGGCCTTTTTTAGTTAATCAGAATGAGTTCTATTACAATTGGGAGGAAAAAATGCCAAAATTGTTTGAAAAAGTTATTGGTAATGTTTAATAAACTACCTTTTCAAAGAAACAAGATGTTTTTTATTTATTTATGTCTGAAGCAGTTTTCAGTTCTCTCCCCCCCACCCCCCACACATAAAGGAAGAGTTTCTAAGGGAAGAGAGCCCCATCTGGGGTGTATATGAATACACCGGTCAGTTTATTTCTCCTGCAGAGGGCTAATGCTCAGAATATCAGCTTTAGAATCTCTCTATGGTGGCCAACTCTCATTATCATCGTTACCTAAGTTGATAAAACTAAATTATCTTTTTCTATGCAGCATCACAGTTTCTTTAGAGACTGTAATACCCTTATTCATTTGCATATAAAATTTAACCTATTGACGTCCAGTGCGTCCGTAAGCGCCTATGTGGACCCACACCCTTTCTACGCCTTGTGACGTCATCACTTTTAACCCTGAAGCACGACTTTGAGTACATACTTGAACAGGTTGAAAATACAGTAAAAACCCACAAGTAAGAACCATAAAAATTAAGAACCTGTTAGCCTAAAATTTGCCATTTACACCCCCTATAAACAAGAACCTATTTAGCCTAAGAAAATTAAAATAGGTTCTTGTTTTCTAAAATCATACAGTACATTACATTTAAAGAAGGACCATAAATTTATAGAAATTTTGGGCTCTGTTTACCCGTTTTTAATATTTGTTTTTTAAATGTTATAGTTAAAAGTTTAGTACAGGTATGCAAAGCATATAATTAGATGTAAATAAACAAATTTATAATATTTCCCTTTTAGTGGGGGGGAGTGGGGTAGGGGTGGTGTGGTGAACAAAATTAAAATATAGGACAATTACCAACTTGTTACGCAGGTGTGT